CAGATCTGGAAGGGATGCCTTGCCCGGCGGACATCTGGTCGCTCAGTCTGGCAGAGTGATGGAATGCTCCTGGGGGCCGTGCATGTTGGGGTATTGGTGATTCCTAGTAGGCCATGCAGTGGTCTGGTATTGTTTGCCACCATTCGGCGCCCTGCAGATCATATCACTATAAGTATTTGACAATCCAGGTCAGATGTTTGTTCGGGAAGGGTATGGTGGTTCGGCTACTGCACTTTTCCTTTGTATAGAACTGTGAGCTGCGCCCAGTATGCACGGGCCCTCTTTTGGGTTATGCAGATGGGATTTTTCTTTCCCATTCCCAATTTTTGGGTCTTTCGCTCAAGTCTGATGGTTCTGGGGATTGTCAGCAAGGAATCCTGAAGCATTCCTTTCGGTTTAGCGCTGCCTTGGAGGCTTTTAGGATGGGTATGTCAGCGCACGTGGCGCAAAGAACCGGGAGGGGGTATGGTGAGATGTCTCGGTGAAGTAATGCTGGTTCGTGGAATTTGTTCAATCCTTGAGGGGGTTCGGGTTCAATTCTCAGTGGCGGTAGCTCATCCATTCATTCCTTTGAGGTACTTAAATGAGTACCGGTTCCTTGGGTACAAGTAACAATTCCCAGGGTGCACTTGGAAAACAGATATCTGGATGTTCTTTTTCCTGGTTATACTCCCAGGTGGGATGCGGGTGTCCGTCCGGGAGGTGAGCTATTGGGTTGTGCGCCTTCTGAAGCGGAGGTTTGTTGGTTTGGTGCCGGAGGTATGAAATGTGTTTGGCTCCTCCCGGAGCAGGTTCAGCTGTCCCACCTGTCCCTAATGTTCGGGTTATCCACCTGGCGGGCATTGAGTTTGGGATGATACCAAGGTGGTGTTTGGCGTCTGCCCCTAAGAGGGTATTGGTGCGTGTTTTAGTTGTTTTGTGATGCGTGGTGTTGGGTTCACTGTATGACCTTGTGTGTTAAGTAATATATGTTAAGTTATGGTTATTTATGTTTAACGTTTTGATTTCAGAAAAGAGATTATGATTATAGAGATTATTATAAGTTCTGGATGTGTTATACAGGACTTGTCGTATGTTATAACAAAAGCAGTT